ATGTTAGCATAAAAATAAGGAGTAGAGGAAAGGCGGTTCCACAAACGTTGTCCTCTACTCGGAGGAGCCAAAGACCAGAAAGAGAAATCATTCACTGCGTGCCAGGTAAACTAACTTCCCTTTTATACGCGAATTTTAAACGTGATGTGAAACCGCGATTTTTAAAGGTTTGTGACTCAGTTTGTAACTCCACCTTGACACAAAAACACAGATGTATTACTTTTTTATGAAAAGACTAATTTAGTGACTTACCTACAAAATATTTTTTAAAGTCTTGAGTCTATAACACTACGTATAAATTTCGTGAAACAACTTACTTTTAGGATGGCTAAAAAATAATTTCGGTTTAAGGCTGTTTCATTATGGAACTTTAAAGAACTAATGAAATAAAACAAGATTTTTAAATCACTTTCAATAGTTTCTCACTACTATATCATTAGAGATTAGAGTTATATGTCAGAGACGAAGTTTGGTTGCGATCAAATGTTTGTTTATCGCAAAAGTTACTGTTGAGTCTCTTCTCCGCTGATTGAAGGTGGTGATAAATGCAAATGTTTAGAAGGATACGTCAAGCTTGCTACGGTGGTCTAAAATAGGTTTCAGCTAAACACGCCTTTTTCCAGTCTGACCTATACAATATTTTAACAAATTTAGGTACGAGAGTTGTTTTAGAGCATGCTCGATTATGTAAATTCTTCCACATGCGTACAAAACTCTAAGCTTCAATCTAAGCGTTAACACCTGTGGTGAGCCCAAACCACAATTAGGCAATTTTTTGATTACGAATTTTTGTGATTGTGAGTATATTTCCATATTATTATTCATTCATTTAGGTAATTAATAAAGTCAATTAGATACTGAATTTATTCTATTAAAAAGTGAAAAAAATTAATTAAGAATTAATTCATAAAATAAGCAGTGAAGTTGAACAAATAAAAATATCATAATTATATCATATGATTTATGATATGATTACAAATTTTAAAAAAGTTGCCTTCTGTAACCATCTAACTTCATGAAAAAGAGCCAAA